GGTGTGTGTGTGTGTGTGTGTGTGTGTGTGTGTCAGGAATTAATGTACTAGCTACACCACAGAAGAAAGGCCTGGGGATCTGCTTCCAGTCAATTCCAGCTCTATCGACCACACAGAAGACAGCAGAGCCGCCTCTGGTTTTCCAAGGCTGTAAACCTTTGCAGCAGAAAGCTTCCCCTTTCTCCCTCAGAGTGGCTGGTGGGTTCAAACTGCTGGCCTTGTGGTTGACAGCCCAAAGTTAACCAGCCACTATGCCACCAGGGTTATAGCTTCAGAAACCTTATGAGACGGTTCTGTTGCATGGGGGTGCCTGTGAGTCGGAACAGAATAACAATAGTCTGTCCTGGGTGCAGTGCTCAGGACAGTAAAACGTCGTCCCTGCCTCCCAGGGTCTCAGAGTTTAGCACGATTACAACACAGCATTGGGGTGGGGTTGTAAGTGAGAAGGGTCAAGGAGCTAACTCCTAGGATCTGCTGTGGCGGATTCACCTAAGAAGAAGGGAAGGGGGAAAGGGCAAGAATAAAGCACACCAGTAGGAGGGGCAGCATGCGGGCAGGCTGAGCACAGGGCAGGTACGAGTGCGAAGAGCCTCACACCACCCATCGCCAAGGAGCTTGGACTTGCCTCCTCACGGGAACAAAACGCAGACAAGGGCCTCTAAGCAGGGGAGACATCATCAGGTGTGTCTTGTGTCCTGCTGACTCAGGTCAGTGGCCAGGATTGACGACAGTGGCTGCGAGAACAGCTGGCAGGCTTCATGGGGTCCAGGCGGGACAATGAGGCCTTGGCCTAGGACCATGGTAGTGGAAAGGAGGGTATAATTAGGATTCCAACCCAAAGCCAGTTGCCACTGAGTCAGCTCCCACTCATGGCAACCTTGTAGGACAGAGGAGAAGGGTCCGCAGGCTTTGCAAGGCTGCGGTGTTTCCAGCAACAGACTGCCACCTCTGGAGCATGCACTAGGTTCCAACCACCATTCTGAGTGTCTCACCACTGTGTCACCAGGACCCATTTTAGGGGATTGTGGCCATTGGGTGATTTAACATCAAGTTGCACCTGTGTGAACGTGTAGGGGTGGTGTCCAATCTGTCAATCAGGTCGCAGCCTGATATGCATCCTTGGGGGTCTAGGCTTTTTATAAGAGAGACACTGCCTCCTGCCCCTTTGCCTTCCAGCTCACTGGGCCTCTGTGTCTGCCCCCAGGGGTGGCCCCATGCTGTCTGTACCTTGTCATATTCCCACCGACCGTGGATCCATGTGACTCTGCACCCACCAGCCTGTGACCTCCCTGCCTCACCTTTCTGCATCACCAGCCTGCAGCCGCGTAAGTTAAGAGGGCTCTGGCTGGCCTCATACCCATAGACGTACGTCAGATTGGGCTCCGATGCCTTGATAGAAAAGTCCCTCCTTTACATACATTAGTGTCACCAATTATGCCTGTCTAGGAAGCTCAGCCTCACACTGAGGACAGGCACCAGAGTTACGTTACAGATATACAATGCCCAGGAGTTGGTGGCTGAGTGGATCCAAGAGTAGAGGAAGCAAGAACTGTGGGCGGGACCCTGGCAGGACCCGGAGGTCCCTTTGTGAGAACAGCCAATCAGGTGGTAGCTTCCTCTGCTCCAAGTGCCTGGACACAACTTTCACTCCTCTCTGTCCCCCTCCACTCTTCACCCACGTGAAATGCACACTAGTTTCACTGACCCCTCCAGATATGTGCAACTCTTACCCAACACTTCTTCATATTTCTACACAGGCACATTTGTCATTTTAATGTCTGCAGAATATTTCATCACCTCGAAATAGCACCGGTTCCCTCAGTTGCTAAAGGTTCACCGTAGGAGCCAGATTTACCCTGGACACACTGGGCAATGGGTGCTCTGCATGTGGTAAGAGGACTGAGGACAGAGAGCCTTCAGACTAAGAGTGCTGGCAAAGTGTGGCTTCCAGGGCAAGCCAAGCGGCACCTCTCCAGGGAGAGCCATGCTACCCTATCGCCCCCCCACACACCCCCAAAGTGCCAGCAGAAACTGTAGAGCTGTTTCTGAAGCCCTGATGTCCGAAGATCCCAGGAAGCAGGTCCCAGAGTTCTAACCCCTCCCATCCATCCACCATTCACTCACTCACTCACTCAGCCAAGAGTGCTTTCTTGGGAACCACTGCTGTTGAATCAGTACTAACCCGTAGCAACCACAGAGGGCAGAGCAGAACTGTTCCTTAGAGTTTCAGAGCCTCAGGTGGGTTTGAGCCACTGACCTTTGGGTTAAGCAGCCTAGTGCATAACCCACTATGCCACCGGGCTCCTCCAAGGGCAATTTGGACCAGCTGCAACTATCCCTACACTCTGGATCTGGCCTAGTCCCAAACTGACTCGCCTGCTCTGAGTTCGGCCCTTTGGGCCTGGGGGTTTAAACCTGCCCATAACTTCCAGAAAAGCACAAACCTTTAAGCCCTCAATTATGAGCCAAAAGGGTAGATGTCCAAACCTGCCCCAGAGGCACCTCAGAAGACAGGGCGTGGGAGTGTGCTTCCCAAAGCTTGTAAAGCCTCTGGGGGCCAGTTCTTGCACACTGGGAAGTCTCCATGAGTCAGCACACATTTCACAGCCACGAGCCTTACTCAAGCCAGGACTTACTCAACCCTTCCCAACCCCGCTCCCCCTGAAGTGTCAGCCACTCGGGACCACACTGGACATAGATGTGGCCCAATCACCGGCTTCATTCCCGAGTCCTCCCTTGACAACCCCTGACCACAGTCCTTGGGCTGCTCAAAGGCCTGCCAGGGTCAATGGGGGCCATCCACTTGACCTCTGCATCTTCTCCACCCCCTTCCTCTCTGTGAAATGGGGGATGGTAGGCTGCTGGCGTTACTTCACAGCCTTGGAGTAACACCTTCCTAGAAAATGTACAGAACACGCTCCCCAGACCCGGCAGCACCAGGCCATGATGGACCAGGGCACAGGACGCCGCTACAGAGATTAACTTTCAGTGTTTTTCCCCTTTAGAAAAAAGATGACCCCAGCATAAATTGCCTGGGTCAAAAGGGCAGAGCAGTTTTGGGTTCAAGATGGACATGGTCCAGCTGTCCCTAGAAAAGGGCAGAGTGAATGTTTGCTCTCTCCATTAACTCAGCTACACCCTTCAAAATGGTCCCACTGTTGGGATGTAGTTCTTGTTGCCTGGATGGTCGGTCTGACATCCAGGGACTTCCAGAAGTTCAGTGTGTCCCTCCTCCTCGGGATGAATGGACACTGTGTCCTGGGGCCAAGAGGCAGCTTAACGCATGTTCACCCCAGCTAGGGGTACCAGGATCATGGCTTGGACCCCAACATTGCCCCAAGAGTGAGGGCCCAATGGTCCAGTCTGACGACTGCCAAGAGGGCAGGCAGAGGGGCGAGGAATCCCCTGGGCACACCTGCCCAGGAAGATGGCCCCGGAACTGCTATTTACAGAGAGCCAACTGAGCAAACCCAACCCCAACACCTTCTCATCCTATCCACGTGGCAAGCCGTGAATCCACCTCTCAGGAGCCGGGAAGTCCTCCATATCACCCTGTTTCCCAGGTCCCTCTCTGAGCCTCTGTCCTATTTCCAAATGTTGCCGAGTCTCGGCACGTGGAGAAGCGCCAAGTCCAGCGTCCACTTGAGTGGCCTGCAAAGAGGAAGCAGGCCCTCGCAGGCTTGCATTTGTAGTTCCTGCCGGGGCCTCAGGAACACTTCCCTGCTCTTCCGTGGGGCTCCGCTTCTAGGCCCTCTGAGTCCAAGGTCACTTCCTCAGAGGAGCCCTCCCCATACCATGGCTCACATGGCGCCCCCAATCCCATCACTCAGTCCCCAGCCTGCCACTGTTTTCACCTCCCTGGCACGTATCACAAACTGTGATTGCTTAAACATTCTGCTTGTAAAGGGCTAACTTTCAAAAGCATCTGAACAGACTTTTTTTAGAGCAGTTTTAGGTTTACA